AGGGGGTTGGGGTGCAGGGGGGGTTGGACTCTGGGCTGGGGGTGTGAGCTCTAGGAAGGGGGTGGGGACAAAGGGTTTGGTGTGGAGGAAGGACTCCAATGTGGGATCGAGGGGTTTGGAGTGCAGGAGGGTGTGTGGGCTCTTGGGTGGGGCTGAAGTTGAGGGGTTTGGGGTGCAGGAGAGAACTCCGGGTTGGGACATGGGGTTGGGGTGGGGTCAGGGCTCTGGCTGGGGGTGTGGACTCTGGGGTGGGGCCGGGGATGAGAGGTTTGGGATGCAGGAGGGGGCTCAGGGCTGAGCATTGGGTTGGGGTGTGGGAGTGGCTTTGGGTTATGGGGTCCTGGCAGCGCTTACTGCAGCTCCCAGGAAGTGGCCGCCAGGTCCCTGCATCCCCTACGTATATGGGTGGCCAGGGAGTCTCTGCATGCTGCCCTCATGCCCACAGGTGCTCCCTGCAGCTCCAATTGGTTGCAGTTCCTAGCCAATGGGAGCTGTGGAACCGGCACTCAGGGCGGGGGCAGGATGTGGAGATTCCCTGGCTGCCCATGTGCCTTGGGGCTGTAGGGATCTGGTGACCACTTCCAGGAGCTGCACAGAGCCAGGACAGGTAGGGAACCTGCCTTAGCCCTGGGCCTCCGCTGTGCTGCTGACCGGTCTTTTAACAGCCCAGTCCACGGTGCCGACCGGAGCCACCAGGGTCCCTTTGCCAACTGGCGTTCTGCTGAAAAACTGGACGCCTGGCAACCCTAGGTGGGAGCCCAGGGCTGGCACATTTCACAGTGCCCCAGACAGAGCCCTGGGAACAGGCTGTGAGGGAACAACCTGCCCTGGCCTGGCTGGGGAGCAGAATACAATGTAAATGTAGCCCCCAGTGGGGTACGATCTCCTCTGGGCCCAACACATTTGTAATGCCCTGTGTCTGTCAGGGACCTCAGGGACGGCCTGGACACAGGTGGGGTCTTGTCTCACTCTAGAAGCCAGCTCAGGAAGGGCCTGCTCCTTACTTGGCATTATAAAAGAAGCTCCCTTAGCTCCAATGGCCGGGGTGTGCTGAAGGTCTCAGGAAGGAGTGTGTATCAACAGAGGGAAAATTACTTTTTGTGGTGGCCTGGCCACCCCCGGTCTTTATTCAGGCCTAATTTGATAGTTTGCAAATTAATTCTAGTTCTGCAGTTTCTCATTGAAGTCTCTTTTTGAAGGTATTTTTGGTGAAGAATGGCCACTTTTAAGTTTGTTATTTAGAGTCCAGGGAGATTGAAGTGCTGTCCTACTGGTTTTTGAATGTTACAATTCTTGATGTCTGAATTGTGTCCATTTATTCTTTTGCTTAGAGGCTGTCTGGTTTGTCCAATGTACATGGCAGAGGGGCATTGCTGGCACATGATGGCCATGTACCATGATGTGCAGGTGAACGGGCCCCTGATGGTGTGGCTGATATGGTTAGGTCCTATGATGGTGTCCCTTGAATAAATATGGGGGCAGATTTGACAAAGGGGTTTGTTGCAGGGATAGGTCCTAGGTTAGTGCTTTTGTTGTGTGGTGTGTAGTTGCTGGTGAATATTTGCTTCAGGTTGCGGGGCCATCTGTAAGCAAGGACTGGCCTAACTCCCAGGGTCTGTGAGAGTGAGGGATCGTCCTTCAGGATAAGTTGTAGATCCTTGATGATGCACTGGAGAGATTTTGGTTGGGGGCTGTAGGTCTCGGCTAGTGGAGTTCTGTTACTTTCTTTCTTGGGCCTGTCCTGTAGTAGGTGACTTCAGGGTACCCTTCTGGCTCTGTCAATCTGTTTCTTCACTTCCCCAGGTGGGTATTGTAGTTTTAAGAACACTTGATAGAGATCCTGTAGGTGTTTGTCTCTGCCTGAGGGATTGGCACAAATGCAGTTCTATCTTAGGGCTTGGCTGACATCGTCAAATTAGGCCTGAATTAAGATTCGGAGTGGCTGAGTCATTACAAAAAATAATGTTCCCTCTGTTGAAACTCACACCTACTTGTCAACTGTTGGGAATGGGCCACGTCCACCCTCGTTAACACTACAAAAAGTAATTTTCCCTCTGTTGATATTCACCCCTTCTTGTCAACTGTTGGGAATAGACTACATTCACCCTGTTTGAATTGGCCTCATTAGCACTGACCCCCCACTTGGTAAGGCAACTCCCATCTTTTTATGGGCTGTAATATATATATATATACCTGCCTACTGTATATTTCACTCCATGCATCTCATGCAGTGGGTTCTAGCCCACGAAAGCTTATGCCCAAATAAATTTGTTAGTCTCTAAGGTGCCACAAGGACTCCTCGTTGTTTTTACCCAGTGGATAGTACATAGTGGGTAGGGTATAGTGGATAGTAGATAGTGGATAAGGGATAGATGAAATCCCCCATTGTTTTTTATTTTTCTTTGTATAGCCTCTCTAATCTCCCTGAGCATTTCACAGTCACTATCACCATCCTGGTCAGGTAGGTGGTAGTACATCCCTACTGCTATAATGCTGTGTAATGCTGTGTGGGGCACTGGGTGCACGTTGATGTGACCATGGGGCTGGGAATTCCCTGTGCTTGTGCTCTGGGGACACTAGGGGCACTGTGGTTTCCGCTGTCTCTGCTCTGTAGTGCCCCTGCAATGCTGTTTAGTGCTTTGGCCTGTAGCTATTATGGGAGCAGTTGCTCCATGTTGGCATAGAACAGGGGCAGGTAAAAAATACATTACCCAGCAGGGCTGTGTCTGGGGCATGGGGACAGGACAAGGCCGTCTGTGGACGGGAAGGATGGACAGTGGAAGGAGGGACAGTCAGAAACCTTCTAGCTTTCCTGCAACTCTCCCTCTGTGAGGCAGGTTTGCCAGACCTCATGTTGTTCTTGGAGCTCTTTTCTGAACCCTCTCCAACAAGGACAAGTGCAGAGTCCTGCACTTAGGATGGAAGAATCCCATGCACTGCTACAGACTAGGGACCGAATGGCTAGGCAGCAGTTCTGCAGAAAAGGACCGAGGGGTTACAGTGGACAAGAAGCTGGATATGAGTCAACAGTGTGCCCTTGTTGCCAAGAAGGCTAACAGCATTTTAGGCTGTATAAGGAGGGGCATTGCCAGCAGATCGAGGGATGTGATCATTCCCGTCTATTCGGCATTGGTGAGGCCTCATTTGGAGTACTGTGTCCAGTGTTGGGCCCCACACTACAAGAAGAATGTGGAAAAATTGGAAAGAGTCCAGTGGAGGGCAACAAAAATGATTAGGGGGCTGGAGCACATGACTTATGAGGATAGGCTGAGGGAACTGGGATTGTTTATTCTGCAGAAGAGAAGAGTGAGGGGGGATTTGATAGCTGCTTCCAGCTACCTGAAGGGGGGTTCCCTAGAGGAAGGATCTAGACTGTTCTCAGTGGTGGCAGATGACAGAACAAGGAGCAATGGTCTCAAGTTGCAGTGGGGGAGGTTTAGGTTGGATATTAGGAAACACTATTTCACTAGGAGGGTGGTGAAGCACTGGAATGGGTTACCTAGGGAGGTGGTGGAATCTCCTTCCTTAGAGGTTTTTAAGGTCTGGCTGGACAAAGCCCTGGCTGTGATGATTTAGTTGGGAATTGGTCCTGCTTTGAACAGGGGGTTGGACTGGATACCTCCTGAGGTCCCTTCGAACGCTGAGATTCTATGATTCCTCCTCTCTTCTTCTCTCCTCCATTCCACCCCCCTTCAGAGGTCCCCGCAGCTAGCTGCATCCCTCCTCCTCACCACCACACCCCACAGGGGCTGGGGGGCGTTTGAGGATGTGAGCGGTGAGCCAGCAGCAGTCGGGGGAGTGAATAGGGGAGCAGAGGGGATCCCTGAGTATAGATCCATCAATGGCTATTAGCCAGGCTGGGCAGGGATGATGTCCCTAGCCTCTGCTTGCCAGAAGCTGGGAATGGGCGACAGGGGATGGATCACTTGATGATTCCCTGTTCTGTTCATTCCCTCTGGGGCACCTGGCATTGGGCACTATCGGAAGACAGGACACTGGGCTAGATGGACATTTGGTCTGACCCAGTAGGGTCATTCTTATGTTCTTATGCTCTGAGTAACTTAACACAAGTGAAATAGCCTTCCAGAGACCTAGTAACAGATCACTGAAACTGTTAACGGGCCATTCAAGTGGCAATGAAGCCATTAAACAGGCATTTGCCAACACCCAGTAAGACTTTGGTCACATTCATCTGGCTTTTATATTGTAGGAAAACGTGTTATTTGGATTAAAAATTGTTTCCAAATGACCCGTCAGTAATTCCCATGCCATGTGACCTGTCAATAATTCTCCATGCATCTGAATTGGTGGGGTTTTTTTACCCATGAAAGGTCATGCCCAGATAAATCTGTTAGTGTTTAAGGTGCCACCAGACTCCTCATTGTTTTTGTGGCTACAGACTAACACGGCTACCCCCTGATACTTGGTACCATGCCATGCGACTTATTCTCTGCACCCAGCAGAAGTATTTTTCACTAACCTCGCTCAAGGAGGAGCAGACTTAGCCAGTGAGTTTATTTCTTGATCTAGTTGTTTTATTCAAGCCCAGTTGAAGTAAGCGAGTCTGGCAGGGAATTCTGTGTAAGAAAGGTGATTAAAATATTGCCTTAATGCAGCTGTCCATGACAAGCACGTTTGCAAAAAGGGAGATTAGGCTTCAGATTGTTGCAGGTAGCCTGAAAAACCAAGTCTCTCTGTATACACTATGCACCGAACTCTGCCACACAGCGGAGAATCCATCTGGCAAGTGATCTATAGCTGTTCAGTTCCCACAGGGAAATCTTATTAGTGCTTTAAGGTGAAAAGGGGGGAGGATCTCGCGGCGGTGGGGCCAGCAGCAGGGTGAGGAGGGGAGTGGTGAGCCAGCGGCATGGCAGGAGTGGGGGTATCTCGGCGTGGGCAGGGGCGGTTGCGGGGGGGGGTGAGGAGGCGAAAGGAGAGGTGGGAACTTGCAGGGGGTGAAGAGATGAGCGGTGGGTCAGCAGCAGGCGGGGCCTGGGGTGGAGCAGGGGTGGAGTCTGGGCGGAGCAATGGGCGGAAGAGGCAGGACAGGAGTTTGCCTCCCCCAGGGGAAGTTTCACCCACTGCCCCGTGCCTCTGCTTACACGTTCAAGGCTCACACTTGCCCTCTTGTGCAGCACGGCACTGAGAGCTCCATTCAGCTGGTTGTGGCCATGACCCCTCAGTGCTTTTCAGCCGACTCAGGTTCTCAGGGCTCGGGCTGCGGGGAAGTTTCATTGCTGTGAAGGCTTCTGAGCTTGGGCTGGAGCCCGGGCTCTAGGGCCCTGTGAGAGCTGCCAAGAAAGCCCCTCGGCCAGGGCTGCACTGAGGTCATGTGGTGCTAATTGCTCATGTGCACAAGCCGAGCGCCTGGCAGAGTCCGAGTGCCTGGGGTCAGCACAGTGACCTTCATCAGCCACACCTGTGCTCCCATCACAGCATGACAGCGGGTGTGTCTGGCAGAGCCATGGCCCAGGGCAGGCCAGTGCTCAGAGCAGAGCCCAGGAGCTGGCGCGGGAGGGATTCGGTGACACCAGCAGGGCACAGGGTGGCTGTGGCTGTGCCGAGTGGGGTGGGGGCCGGGAAGGTGAAGGGGGATGGAGAGAGGGAGGCGGCTCTACCTGCTCCTCCCATTGGTCCTGGGGAGGGGAGAGGCGCTAACACGGGGTCC